AATATCAGTGAGCTGTACACAGCGAACCGGGGCTTCTCTGAATGCAGACCTCTACTTTCTTATTAAGTCCCTATTAGCTAGTTTGAGATTTCAGCAGCCCATGGCAGGCTTTAGGTCCCAGAGTTTTTCTTCTCTGCCTGTGTGAGTGAAAATGTGCAAGTCAGACTTTATACTTTTATAAATATCTTTTTCTGCCTCTTGGCCCTCTGTGATGATGTCTAAGACCTTGTTTATCACTGGCATACTTCTTAAAGTGCTTATCTTCATGCATTATATCCTCACTTGCTTCACATACTCTCTCTATCCTCTAACCCTTTCCTTTGCCAACCCAGCCTAAAATGTGAGAAGCTACAAATGGGGGTATTCTTCCTTCTTCACCCTGGCTGTGGTGATAGAATTTCTGCCTGTTTCTACACTTCCTATTAATCCAGGAGCCTTGTAAGCTCACTCACACGTGCACACAGAGTGTTACATGCACTGATATCCCTTAACAGAGTGCTCAGGAAGGATCTATCTGCAGGGTCAGAAATAAGGCAGTGGTCCTACTTAGCCTTCTGAGCAATTGCAGGGAATGGGCAATAACAAAGGGAAATGAAACAGCCTTCCAAATCAATGAAGGCTTAAGAACCATGGCCTAGAACTAGACAACTTCATAGCTGGAAGGGTAGGAGAGGGTAATTCTATGCTGACTCTCTCATAGCTGGTGGATTGTAACACAGGAAGCCAATTGTTTCAAATTGCACAATGTGTTACCGGGGATCAGTACAGGCAACTGCTGTAACCAAACTATAAGGGAATGGTGCCCTGCACTGGCCCTTTAAAAGCAAAACCTGAGCAAGGGCTGAGAGCGAAGTACCAGCTGAGGCTGTTATTTTGCCAATTTGCGCCCAGCAGGGGGAAGGGAGGAGGAAGTGGGAGCTGTATAAAGAAGAGCTCCTGGAGGGAGAGAGGACTCACTCTTGCTCTGGCTGAAGAGCAAGAGGGACTTGGCTGCCTGGGAAGCAGGAGGCTTCCTGGAAGTAAAGCAGTGCTGGAAAAGGAAAGCAGAGTTGGGAGTGCTGGCCTGACCTCATTCCCAGGCTGCAGGGCCTGAGACAAGGCTTGAGAGTATGAAGGCTGTAGGGGGGCAGCTAGGGTAGGAAAAGGCAGCAGGTCCACACCCCCTTGCCATTGATGAGTGGCCATTTCAGACTGCAGTTTGCCCCTGAGGCAGGGGCTAGATAAAGGCTGCCAGTACATCACTGAGGCAACTGGATATTCCCTGGGAGGGGAGACCCTGGAGTGCAGAGACTGACAAACACCTCCCTGGAAGGGGGTCAAGAGACACTGGAGTGGGCACTGACAGAGAGCAGTGTCCTGAAGAGGACACCGCAGTCCAGAAATGACCCAGGTCTGGAGTGGAGAGTGAAATGAGGACCCGGGAAGACACCAATGAGAGGGAGGCGACCAGCAAACAGACAAAAGCTAATTCCCAGTAGCACTGGCTGGAGGTGCCTTGGTGGTCAGACTGTCTGTCAGATAGGTAACAGTTGAGGTTGTGCACGCTTGCTTCCCACTCAGTACTAAGAAAAGAGACGTCTATGAGAAAAATGAACCTGAAGTGATAGATGTGTGGTGATGGGGGATTGAGGAGACAGTAGAGATGGCAAAAAAGTAGGTGATTCTGGTGACTGCTGACAAACTTTCCCACTAATTGGCTCTGTCTTGTGTGTTTGGTAGGGATGGAGATGAGGGCCACAGATATTTTCTTCCGGTGGTCTCTGGACTTCACATGCACTTGGGTGTCATCAGTTGAAGTTGATGGTAAGTCTGTAGAGGCTGGGCAATTTTGAGACTAATTGTACCTGAAAACATGCAGCTATTACAAAATATTTCCCTGAAGCTTACTGGGATATCTAATGCAGCCCTAGTTGTAAGAGGTAATGATGTTTCATTGCCCATCCATTGGAGCTCTTATTTAACTTGAGAGGTTTCCTACTTCTATTCTATCTGGCTGAAAAGAGAGGTGTAGTCTGTACTTCCTCTAAAAGTAAGTTGGGACCTATTTCCAAGAAAGACCCCTTGTTCTGGGTTCTCAATTTTAGTCTCTGAGAGCTTTATTGTCAGAGCTGTTGATGGTCATAGCTCTGAGAGATTTCAGTTAGGGTACATCTACTCTGCAACACTATTTTGAAACAACTAGCGCTATTCTGAAATAACTTAGTCCATGTCTAGACAGCAGGCAGTTATTTTGAAATAGTGTCAAAATTCTGTCAAGCTGTAGGACTTCTTACTTTGACTCCTGTAAACATCATTGTATGAGAAATAAGGGAAGCCAGAAGAAGAGTGCTCTATTTCAAAATAAGTCCTGTGTAGACGCTCCCTATTCCGAAATAAGCTATTTTGAAAAACTACGTAAATGACATAGCTCAATTTGCATAGTTTATTTTGAGTTAAGCCCTGGAGTGTAGACACACCTTAGTTGTGAGTAAGTAGCACTCTGAGCATGTGGGCCTTACCTTCTCTGCCCGTTTCTTCTCTGTAAAACTGGGTTATGAACACTCAAGGTCTCAGGGAGGGTGCTGTAAGGATTAATTAATGTTTAGACAGTACTTTGAAGATTTACAAGTATTTAAAATAAAATTATTTAAGAATGTTAAGGCAAGTTAGAAAATGTAGCAGTGTCTTTGATTAAGTCAGGTTGACTAAGCTACACAAACCAGAGTGGCAGCTGGTACCATCTTCTTGCTTAAGGAGAAAGCACCCTCCCACCAGCAGGATAGCAATTTATTGATGTCATCAATATGAAATCCAAACACTGAGGCTGATCAAACACTGAGAGCATGTCTACACTGGGGAGTTATTTTGAAATAACAAGGTGAGTGTCCACACTACCCAGCCTGTTATTTCGAAATAATAACCCCTGATTGTGAAGAGGAATAAGCTTATTTTGAAATAGTTATTTCAGGAGTTATTATTTCAAAATAACTTATTTTGAAATATCTTGGTAGTGTAAACATAGCCTGAGTTTCTCAGAAGTCATTATACTAATGCTTCATGATAAGGTTAAAGGCTGGTTTAAATGCTGGAATCCTCACTTGTCTGGCCAGCCCTCATTCCTTTCCCAGTGTTTGTAAGTCCTTGAAGTATTTGCTTCTAGATCTAGACCTTCATCCCACCAGCAATTTTGCCAACCAGTCAGTCAGTCATACTCCAAGCTCGGTGCTCTCTCAAACTGATGTCAGCAGGCCTCAGAGGAATAGCTCTTGTTTACCAGCAGACAGCAACTGAAACCAACCAAAATCCAGCATATGCATATGAAGGATGGTCCAGTGTGATTTGGAGTTGTGATGGAAATGAATCAGTGAGAGATTCAGCAAAGGAAACTTATAAAATGAACATGTTGTGCTGCTCTAGCATCATTTCTCCCTCATCTGAATGTCTGATTTAAATCATGAATGGTGTTGGACCCCACTCATTTAAACATATATTGTCCTACTTCAAGTACTTATCAGAAAAAAAATTGAACATGCTCCACAGAATGTTTTTGTGACTACTGTTTAATAAGGCATGTATTATAACACAAATGGAAAATATTCTAGAGAAAACAAAGACTTTCAAACTAGCCCTTCTCAACTGAAACAAACAACCATAAGCAAAGAGGACAAAATAAAACAATTACATAAACATGACCACTTGATTATAATACTTGAGACTGAGGAGAGATTATGATTCTCCAAGCAAAGGGACAAAGAGAATTCACAAAGGAGACTATCAGAAGGAAATGCAAATTCTGTAGCAAAATTAGTGTTGGTACATTCCAGGCATATGCTTCTGTTGTACTGTGTGTAGAATTGATACATAAAGGTCAGCTTGAATAAACTGTTTAACAGTGACCAGGAAAAAAACTGGTGTTTTGAAAGGGTCCCCATAGCTGAATGAAAAGTCTGGCTGGGAGGAAGAAGGGGTGAGGGCAGACATTGCAAATGTGATAGCTGCAGTCCAAAGAAAGATAGTGCAGTTGCTAAAAGGGAAGTGCCAGATATAGCTGGGTTGGATTTGTTCCTTTTTTCCTGAAAAGTATGAGAGAAAAGGGGGATTTAGCCAACCAGTATAGAGAGTTGATCTATCATAGTATTACAAGGTGCCCCTATGTGCCCAGTGATATCCACCCCAAGTCATGCAAGGAAGGTGATCTAATTGCATATCGATTTGAAAGTGATGAATACCAATAATCTGGCTGAAATGTTTCAACAGGGCCGCCCAAGGGGAGGCAAGTGGGGCAATTTGCCCCAGGCACCACAGGGGCCCCCACAAGAATCTCTGAAGTCTGAGATTTTTTTTATGGAAGGTGCCCCCAAAATTGCTTTTGCCCCAGCTGCCCTGAATCCTCTGGGTGGCCCTGTGTTTCAATAGGCTCATGGTAATTGACAAAAGAATTATACTACACCAGAAAGAAGGTAATCCATCTACCTTAACAGCTGCTTTGAGGGCTTTGATTAGATTTGCATCACAAAGAAAAAACTTTTCTACCAGTGTGGGACCTAGTCCTGCACACCCTCACTCACCTTAGTAGTGTTAATGTTTTCATAGATCTGGTTAGGTGACTATGACATTAAGGTTTGCAGAATCAAGCCTGTAAGAAGGAAATAGGTAAGGTGTTTATGTGATTTTGTAACCCATTTAACATGACATTCTTAAGGCTACATTCTGTGGGTCAAATAAAAATATAAAAAATGACTCTCTTCTCTATCTCTTTGTACTATCAGACTACAGTGCTCATTTCCTGAATGTTTCCTAGGACAAAGCCATCCTGCTGATTGGTTATGGACTGTGGCACCAAACACTGTAGCTCTAACGAGCACTCCACATCAGTGCACAAAGAGCCCAATCCCAAAAAGGAGCTGGTCCCTGTTGTCTCCCCTGAACACTGGAGCTAAGCCCCTTGCAGAATCAAGCCAATAGCCCCAAGTTCAGCAGCATCCATTGGGATAACAGTATTTGGAGTGAGCTTGGGAAATACCATTTGAGATTTATGAACATATAGAGAAAACCGGTAAATAATTTCAGTTTAAACTCTATGAATTAAATGTATTGTCTATTTTGTAAAGCTGAAATATGAAACATTAAATTACAATTTAGCCTGCAGTCTGAGAAGTATGGTTTTTAACAGAGAAAAAAGTTAGGTCAGGTAATATCTTTTACTGGACTCATCTTGGTTGATGAAAATGACAAAGTTTCAAGATTACCCCGAGCTCCTTTTCAGGTCTGGCAAACAAACAAACACAGGACAGTCATAAGTGATAGTAAGGTTATCATCTACGAATAGGGAGGACAGCTTTGATCAATTCTCAGTTGAGCATTACTAACTGAGTCAAAACACAAGAAAGAAATTCAAAATTCAAGGACTTCTGTCAGTTCACTGACATGTCCCTGTTTCAGTTTCATAGTAACAAATCCACTTGTCATAGTTGTTGTTCAGCCTGTCATGAGTAGTGCTGTTTGTATTTTTGTAAGTAACAGCAGGAGGGTTCCCAGATGACTGTCTAATAATACATGAAACACTGAAAGCCAGACCATAATGAGTACTTATCCATCAATCCTTTTGCACTCTTTATTAATGTTTGATTCCTGGATATTTGTTAGGTCATTTTATTTTTTTCCACTAGTAATTTTTTAAAAAGTTTAACATTTCCTCTCAGCTTAATGCTTTGACTTCATACTGGTTCAGAGAGTTCTCTGCACTGGTTCTAAGCAAAAGAAGATAAAATATATGCACATTAGATGTGGATGTTACAATTTACTGGAAGGATGCTGAAAATCTTATTGATATTGCAACTTCTGTATTAGATCAAAAAAGCACGCCCACAATATTTACTAAACATTTGTCCAACCACTTATAAAACTCTAGTAATTAAACTAATTCCCCCAATTACTTGACTCCATATGTTAAATTTTTGCTGCATATAAAAAATGATGTTTTTCTTCCTTTCCTTGTTGTTGTATCCGACAGTGACTGGAATAACTAGGCCTTAGACTAGAGTATCTATTCTCTTCCAAATCTGACATTGTATACTGTATCTTAGTGATTTCCCCTCTTAATTTCCTCATATCTAAAAAAAATAAGACTATCAACCGCTAACAAGTTACATGTAAAAGCTATGCCATGTTCCTGTATCATTCTGTTCATTCTGTATTGAGCCTTCACTATATCTACATTTCAATTTTTTTTCCAAAGGTGATCAGAACTAAGCACAGTATTTCATATATGGCCTTATGGTACTGCTAAGTACCTTCTGCAGTGCTAGAACAGTTGCTTCTGAAATATCCATTACCTTTATTTATACTTCGCAGATTGGGGAGAGAACCAAGAAATAGATATGAATAAAACAGCAGACTCAGCAGACCTTACCTCAGTATTTTCCTGTGTTTTCATATGCACTTCCATTTCCATGCAATATTTTATTTTTGTATGCATCTATCACTGTTTGCTTCTGTCAGAAGTTCAAAGACAGCCTGATTTTATAAGAGGGAGATAGTATTGACTGATTCATAATATTGTTTCTACTTTTTTTTTAACCAATCCTTGATGTACATCTCCAATTTTTAAAAGCATTTCATGACCCACTGGGCAGTTTGAAAGATCTATAGAATGAACTCATTATCATGTTGGCTGTGGAGTGTTTTTCATTGGTTATGTTTGCAATGCAAAAATTAGTTTCAGCGGGATCTTTTCTGTTAGGAAAACTGTTAAAAAACTAATATATACATACATAATAAAACTTATGGGGAGGTGATATCAGTTTGATGGATTACATTTATCAATCAGCTTTGACTATGCCTCTGCTCATTAATCCACTTTTCCCAGCATCTTCCAACACTCAGAATGCCTTCATGCAGCCATAATCAACTCATCAGAAAAATATTTTCTTCTCCCCCCCTGAAATGTTGAATTCCCAATCATTTCCACCTTAGGTCCACGGTAGGCGGTATTCTGTCCTTCACGAGTGACAAGCTCATTAAAGCATGATCTCTCAAGAGCCTGTAGAACTGAGAGTTTTATACTCTTGGGGTGAAATCCTGCTCTTAATGAAATGCATGGAAGTTTTACCATTGGCTGACTTCAATGGGGACATGAGTCTATACCTGCAGAGGGGGAAATCCCAGCTTTCATAGAGCCACATAATTTGCTTCTAGCTGTGGAAGTTCTCAAAACTTTAAAGAAAACATAATTGTAGTTAATTTTAAAGGGCATTTTGCATGTGGAACAAAATTTTTATCTCTAATTCTCAGCACCACATGTGACCTTTGTAATTAAGGCATCTGGCTTTAGAGGCATAAAGATACAAAACTAGTCCCAATAGTCAATTGTACCTAAAGAATTGTTGTGGTGCTTTTTTCTATAGAATAAATGGCACTTACAGAATGCATAATGGTGTAGTATAAAGGTGTTTTTCAACATGCATTTTGGATGATCTGTAGAACTCACCCATAGCTTTCCCACTGATGATGTATTCTCTCCCTCACTTTTCTTCCCGCACTCTCCTTTGCGCATGATTCTAGACAAACAAGAATTTAATTTTCTTACTGCCCCTTAAGCTGAGTGCACAGCAACCAGAATTACGACTTCATCATAATACTCACTCTTTCACAGCAAAAGAACTGCATTGCCATCAAAAGAACATCATGGAGAGTCACAAAATAATTAAAGATTTAAGGCTTCGTTCTGGCTTTGATGAGACTGAGGCATGAAGGAGCAGCTGGAGCAGCTGTGTGGCGATGGCTTAGAGGCAGTCTCCTTACAGAGGGCAGACACAGATGTAATGCCTCCAGGGTATTGTGGGAAGGAAGGAGGAGCTGCATGATCAGAAGTGGCATTTGCCATACCTATGTTAGCTGCTTTTGCTAGTGGTGGCTTCCAGATATGGCAGCGGGTACACCGGCAATGTCATGGCCTCAATCCATGAGACATCTTTTTGGGCAACAGCAGCAATGCTAAGCATTGTCATACCCCCAACATAATCTTAGGGTGTCTAAACAATAATATTTGGGATGCCTTGGTTCCTACTGGGTGCTTTTGAGGGAAAAAGGAGCAGAGATTCTTCTTGGACAGTACTCATGTGAGGACAGCCACCACATGGCATGTGCTGTGTAACAAATGTATAAGCAATAATTAAAACATTCATCTAGAAAGTAAAGGGTACAATATGAGCAAGGGTAGGGCTTTTTCAAGCTGTCAGTGAGAGATCTCTGGTATTTGCAAGTGTTACTGGTTTTGAGAAGATTGTTTGGCAGTGTCACTGCAACCTACATGTGTTTCTAGTCAGTTTACATTTGCCATTTTCCTCTTCTGCCTTTCTTGCAACCACTGCTTGTTGTGTGGGGAGAGCACCACCCTCTTCTGTTTCAGTCTTCCTTTACCCCTTGAACCCACAAGGGTCATATACATATAAAAATAGAAACTCATAGAAAGATGTGCAGAGTGATGACAAGTGGTAAATGTGACTCTGATCTGGTGCTTCAGACTAACTATTACTGACCTAGACCATGGTGAAACATGTCCTCCAAAAGCAGCAAGCAAAAGTCTTGATTGATAAAACAGAACTCTTGCTGTAAACAGGGTACTGTGGCAGAATTCAGAATAATCAGAAATCCATTTCAGTATCCCTTTTCATTTTAAAAAAGAAATTATGACTATATGATTCACTTTATATTGAATCAGGCTAGTCAGATTCACTTTAAAATATGCTTTATTCCAAGTTAATTAAGTGTTTATGAACTCAGCCCACATTCTTCTTCTTCTTGATAGTCTAATTATTAAATTTAATGTATATGTTCATGTAGCTATATATCTATGCATTAATGTAGACACAAATACATTCTCTTAAATATAAAACCCCACAAAATAAAAACGAGTAATTTATGGGAACTTAAAATTAAATTATCTGGGCAGGTTTCCAGTTGATTTATAGTGATCCCTGGACAGACCATGCTTACACATAATAACTACTAGAGAATTTACTTTACACTACAGCATTTGTGTTGCTGGCCATTTGACTGCCAAGATTAGTGTTTATGATCAGGATGGCAATCTAATTAAATATATCTAAGATTCAAAGAACATTGGACAACATTCAAGGCCAACTCAGCATTAAATTAGAAAATTTAACCTGGCTATTCTATCAATATATCCAGCTACCAGATCAACTACTACCCAAAACTATGTCTAATGAGTTTGGTGGGAATACTGTATCACAGATGTCTAAGGTAGTCATGAGCCTAAAGCATCATAAATAAGATGCTTCAGCTGGGCATAGCAAAATATATTAGAGCAGCTTTGTCAGTTTCTAGCAACCTGCTTGCCGATAGTTGAGAAACAGCACTGTAAAATGTATGAGCTGCCTTTTGTAGTTTTTTTGCAGGAAGCCTTGGAAAGCAGCAGATAATTTGCTTTCAATGATTCATCAAGTTGGCCCTTTGTTTCACTAATTTGAGTGTCAAGTGCAACCACATAATAAAGAATTACCAAGACTGATAAGATTATTCCTATACTCCTGTCTTAACAACTGGTACTATTCTAACCTACACCACAGATGGAATAAATAGCAAATATATTTGCAATGCCAGCAATCTTCTTTGAAATGACAAAGCATGTTTACTGCCATCTCCACTGATGCAGCACACATTTTTATTTCTGCTAATAATTTCTACTTTCTTAAAAAGCACTAAATGCTGAATGCTGTGCCATCGCTAGAGATGACATTTGTTCCACTGTTAGTCTACCAATGAATTAGTAAAGATGAAAAATGGATTTTAGTGACAATTCCAGCCTTGAGAAAGATATTATTGTGAACATGGTTGAGTTAGCCTGCTGATCATTTTCTCCTTAATGTAGTCTTTAATGTTATATTGCTGTAGGTTAGATGTGAAGCCATATATTAGAACTATTATTTTGATGAATAATTTCAAGAGAATATGTTCATAATTAAGATATAATTTTTTCAAAATGCTATACTGTCATTTTAATAACTTCATAAGAAACCGACCTGAAAATGGGTTGTTTTGAAGAGGCACATATATAACTATAGAATTCCTAGAGTAAGAAATTTATGTAATTTAAATTGCTTTATTAAAGTTTTCACAATTAAACTATGCATCACTGATACAGAAAAATCAAAGATGTAAACAGTAAAGGACTCCAGAGAACGCATATAAAATGAATTTTATCTCTAGCAATCAGAAAGATGGCATTAGAGAGTACAAGATACTACAGGTTCACTTTCTTTGAGAAATGTATGTATATAAATGTTTTAAAACTTATTATGAAGAATTGTTATGTAATAAGAATTGCATGCCAAGCAGGAGACTCTAAAACTGTAGTTAATACTGTTCTGGAAATGGAGGGTGTTAAAATATTTACAAAGAAAAAAATGAAAATAATTTAGATGAAAAATTGTTGCCTCAAAACCACAGGGCTCAGAAAACTCAGTTAATGCTTAGAGAGTGATGAATTTTTCCTCTAGGCAAAATGGAAATAACTTACGTTGGAGATTGTGTCCTTGTGTTCTAAGCAGGATTTTTAAAAAAGGCAAAGCAAGTGGCCTGCATGGATTTAATGGTATTGTGTTTATAATTTAGGTTGATCAGAATCCTGCCCACTGATTAAATATGACATTGTGCAGATGACTGTAATACTGTAGAGTGTGTTTCACTGCAGAAGAGGGGAAAGGGGCTCCTGTGTGGAGATGAGATTTCTGTCCGAGAAATCATTACAACCTCTAACTTATGTCTTCCTTTAACTTCTACATTATCCTGAAACTGCCTCTGTGCTGGAGGCGAGGAAGGAACCGGGGGAGTTTAGGACCCAGCAGACAGTGGCAGGCAGCAGTTGTGTAGATCACTGAGAGAGACTCAGAGGGTCCAGTCCAGTTTTAATGCTGTCTCTAATCTCTGCAACAGCAGTGCTTTCCCTAACAGCCCCAGCTCGGGCGTCTCTCTCGCTCTCTCCGGCCTGAGCCCCGGCAAAAACCATGTTCTTGGCTTCCTCACAATGGAAACCCTAGAGGGGAAAGTGGCCCCAGATGCGCAAGCCTGAGGATTCTTTACAAAGAGGTGCCCACAATGAAGACCCTGGCGGTAAGTCAGTGGTTGGACCTAATGATCCTAGGTCACCCGGGGACCAAACGAAAGCAGCCCTGCTGGGGGAGAAGACGAGGGCAGTGGAGCGGGCTGGCCAGGGCATCAGACATACGCTCCAGCCTTTCCAGGACTGGCACCTTCTCTTTTGTTACATTTTACTAAGGGGAACAAACCCGAGGAGGGGGAGGGGGAGGAGAACTTTCCACCTGCTTTTCTCCTATTCGCGTGCGGTGTTGTTCCGTAGAGCGTGGAGCAAACAGATCGGCTTAAAGGATGAGCGTGGCTGTAACTTGGCTAGTGCAACAATTCCTAACAGTCATTAAAATGCAGGGATGGAGCGGCTGGAGGGGAATGGAGGCACGGGGAAGGGAGCGGAGGGGAACGCATGGGAACGGGAAGGAGAGGGGGGCAGGGGCGGAAGGAAAAGAGGCAGAAAGCGGTGGGAGGTGACGGGAGGGAGGTAGCGAAATGGGGGAGGGGGGGTTTCAGTGGAGTTCTCGAGCCGCACTTTTACCTGGTCCTCACCGGTGTCAAACTTGCAAGCGCTGCAAAGGGAAAGGCGCCGCGGGTGTTTCCCAAATAGCTACTTAACCCGAGCAGCTACCCCCTGCTGCCGCCCCCTTGGAAAGACACTGCCCCAAAAGTGACCCGCACTGGACGCCACCTGCAGTGTGAGGAGAGAGGCCCACAGGGCGCTGCATGGACGGATCAGTGCAAGGGAAGGAGGGCGGGGAGGGAGTGCAGAGAGACCCAGACTTCACCCCGTCTGCCCCGCTTAGGATGTGACCCCTCCCCCTCCGCTCGCCTCCTTCCAGGATTCCCATTCTTCTCCCGCCCGGGTCGGGGTTTGCGCTGTGCGGGGGTGTGTGCCCGGGGCTGTTTGCAGGGGGGCTCAGTGTCTCTTTGTCCCTTCGCAGCGCCATGGGCTGGCGGTGTGTTTAGTGCTCACCACCATGTGCACCAGCTTGTTGCTCATGTACGGCAGCATCGGCGGCGGGGGCCAGAAGGAGCCGAACCAGCAGCAGCAGGTGGCGGCGGCGGCCAGTGGGAAGCCGGAGAGCAAGCAGCAAGGCGGCAGCCAGCAGCGCCCGAGGCTCCCTGTGGGGGCGGGGCTCCTAGAGGGCTACATCAGTGTCGTGGACCACAAGGTGAGGAGATGAGCACAGGGGCAGCAGGGAGAAGTGGGCCAGGTCTGGCCACCAGCCGGGGCTGGAGGGAGGGAGCACCCCATATAGGTCCAGTGCCCTTTGGGGATCTCTGTGGTTCCTCCCAGCTCTCAAGGACCCAGCGGAAGCTCTTATGGGTCCTTAATGATTGGATCAGACATGTAAATGGGCCATGGATTTGGCACCATGCCCTCTGTAGGGGTGGGACTGAAGCTGTGGTCCTCCCTGTCCTTGGCTAGTTGTGACTCCTGTACCACTTAGCCTGGTGTGACTCTGTGACTCTCCTGCCTTTTGCTTTCTGGGAGGTGGGCTGTGACTCATGATGGTGGAGATGTCACTTTTTGTTCTGTGGGGGCTATAACTGGAATCTTGAGTCCGTTTGTGGTGGTACACCAATGTTCATGGCTTTTGGGACTGGTGCCTGTCACCTTATTTTACTCTGCTCTATTCAGGTTCACCTACTGCACTCATTAGTATCTGAATACCTTCCAGTAGTGCAGAAAGCAGTATGTCTACACATCTCTTATGGACATGTTCTCTCCTCCACTGCCCAAGAATTGTTTTAGTCTGGATTTTTTAAAGTGTATACACACATGTTGCTATATGTTTATGTAGAGAGTGCAAGGTCAGAGAAACAGTCCTTTTCTTAGAGTGGAAGATAGTACAGTTTGTGAGACTCTTTGGTTCCTGTAAAAGTTCATGTCACAGCCTTGGTCGGCCCACAAGAAAGCATAGATGAGCTTCACCTTTGTTGTAGAAAGGTCCATTGTGCCAGAAGAGTGAAGTTGTCAACCGCAGCCTTCCTCTTGGCAGCATATTGACTATGGTGCATCTCTCTGATCATGTATATTGATGCCTATTGATCCAGGTGAGCAAATTCTGGTGCCTTTTGTTCTAGGTAAACTGTGGTATCCTTTCCTTCAGGCTGTGCCAATTGTGGTGCTCAAAACCCCAGAATGGGCTGACAGGCAACCCTTGCTTCTGGATGTCAGACTTCCATATCCTTTACTTAAAGGTGAACAGACTCTGGTTTCACAAGTGGTGCCCCTCACATAGGACACACCTTATTGCCCATTGTTTCTGGAAGGGGAATTCTGGAGCCCTTCTTTGAGTGCAGGGGGGTGGATAACTACTGGAATCAGAGTCCTCTTTATTGTATCTAGATTCTGGAGAAGAAATATACAAAAGAAATATATTGGCAGATATAAAGGTTGCATTTTGTGGTTGTAGTGGCATTTCCCTTCAGGGATAAAATTTAACAATTATTCACAGTACTGAAATGTCACAGGATACAGTATGTGTGATTACTGACAATAGTGGTCCAGTACTAGTTTACTACTGAAGTAAATCACTTTATGTCTGAGGAGAAAATTTGCCTGAAAAGCAAGACATTGAGCATTGTTGAACAGTCTCATGCAGGAAAGGTATGGCTGCAAGCAGTTTAGTTAGGCATACCTGTACTAGTTTCAAGCTAACTAACACAGCTGAAAATATCAGTGAAGATGTGGTGGCTGAAACTTCAACATGGGATGTGAAGCTTGCCTGGAACCCTAGGTACATACATACTTATATATTGCTTGCCCCTGTTGTTACAAGGTTAAAGTTAGCCTATCTGAGCTTCACTCACATCTCCAATTGCAGCATAAACATGCCCTAGATATAAGTTATCACCTACTGTGGTCAGATTACCTACTGTATTCTTCTTTCATTTTATATACGGTCACGCATGATGGCCACTCAGCTTCTGAGGATATGGCTAACATCTAAATTCCTATTCACCATTGAAGACTGCTTTGCATGAGCCTTTCAGCACCCAGTGTAATTTGTACCTTTTTTTGCTTACTAGTCTTTGTATTTGTGCATTTCACTTTGATTCCTTCAGCTTACATCACAGCCAATGTTCTCAATTCTGCATATTAGAAACTGTAAAATATATTTTGTTGAACTGAACTCTTTAAAATAGTGAAAAAGTCTGGATGGCTATGGTGCTGGTTTGCAACATTTCACTTTTTGCATCTCACACCACCAGGGGTTGAAAATCATTGCCACCAGATAACAGAAAAGAGCAGGACATCTCCTTTTAGTTCCTAGTGGCCAGGTGTTTTACATGATAAAAACTATCAGAAGAGGCACAGAGGCACAAAATCTCTATTTGTTGATAGCTGCTGCTGAAAGGTCAAAGACTGAAGGAAATATCGGCCATGTTGCTGTTCCTAGAAGCTGTTACTTCTTAGCAAGATGAGGGCACATTAGCAGGCCAGCCTGGAGAATCTTTCCCTGCTTCTGTCTGTGCTGTACTTATTCCATGACAAAAGAGTGGACAGTAGTCTCACAGACTATCAAAGCAGTACCTTTCATGACTTCTATAGTTGATAGGGATTTTGACATTGTCTTCCATAAAAGCTAGATCAGACTGTGTCTGTCTTGTCATCGGGCAGGGGAATGTTACTTTTTGTTAATTTAACAATAAATGGTGGCACTAATATTTTACCAACAGTTGCTGCATGTGAGTAGAAGAGAATTTATGAAAACAGAAAGGCTATCAATATTCTAAATCTTTCAAGAAATAAGTATTTAACCATCTGCTAATTTTGAAGTGAACATGACAACATGACTCTGGGTAGCTGGAAGGCTTTTTACCCAGTATTGGCTCAGTGATGCTTATTACCCATAACGTGAGAGTTCTACCTCACATGTAATTGAAAACCACTAAGGATTTTGCATTTACTCCTCTCCCCCCTGCCCTCCCACCCCCCAAAAAAGTACCATAACAAGACCAATCTTGCAATCAAAATCTATGAGTTCTTAGTCCTTTGTTGAAGCACTGGAGAAGTTGATGACTAAACTCTTAATTTATATGGATTACAATGATAGATTGATAGACAGATAGATAGATAATGTGTCTATTCCATTTCATTATATCACAAAATCTTACAGCATTTTGGAACAGAGTAGTTTGTTGCTTCGGAGAAGGTCAAGGAGAGTTGCTGCTGGTGGTGGGGGGAGGGGTGTCAAGCTTTAAGCTGAGCTGTAGTGGAGACTTTAATGGCATGATGCTAGCAACATAAATGAAGTCTTCTACCCATAACAGTTTCACTGAGAAGTGGAGGCTTTATTATGCAATAAGCATCTTGATTGAGTCATTATGATGTAAGAGATCCACCGGGGGAGACTTTATTTTGGAATAACCTTGCCAGGGGAGAGTTTGTTATGACATAAATGTCAGTAGTATGTAATTATGTATGACAGAATTTTTTGATTATTTTCATGGCACTGCCTTTGTGTTTTGAGACAGTGGCATGAGTCTGTACTTTTACAGGCACATTTAGTCACTAAACACTAATATAGTCATTAGATTAAAAAAGTAGAAAAAGTATTTGTTTTTATCTCACTTTGAGGGAGAAGAAAGAGTTCAGTTGGATATAGTGTTTGACTTTAACTAGACTTGGAAAAGGTTAAATTGGGTGAAAAAATATACACATAATAGAGCAATTTGTTTTACCAGGCTTACATTTGGAGCTGTTTGAAAGTGTTATAATTAATTGTATGCTGACTATCTTGTGTTTATTTTTGTTGCTTTTGTGCTACCAGCAGTGATCTCTATTTTTCTCATCTTAGCAAATCATAATACTGGTTCATTGCATTTTGATTATTTTAGTTTAAAGTTTTTAGCAGCTTCTGTGTGCAGTAAGTGATAACATTCAATTTGCATTACAGAGCATGCAACAGAGATAGAAAATGGTACCTTTTGCTGTATTCCAGATTGCAGGCATCTTTGCACACAGCCAGCAGTTCTGGTTTGGCACTGTTGCCATCTGTAATCTCTCAAAGTACTGTACGCATTACTGTTGCTGATTATGTATAAGTCAGCTCAGCATGTTATGCATCTACAGTTTTCACTTAAAAATACAGGGTCAGATTTCTGCTATCCTTATTGAGCTCACTTTCCATTAACTTTATTAGCATTTTTGCTTGAATATAGACAGCAGAATTTGGTAATAGAAAGTAAAAGATAGAAAGGGCTATACTACACAAGTTGCTGTGAAGTATAAGTCTTCATAAAATAAGAGTTATGTAATGTGGAATCCAGCTGATAAAGATGCTAACTATGGATAAGAAGTATAATTACAAAGGCCAGGAATTTAGTTAATTGATAAAATACATCAGTAAAACATTTTTGTCAAAGTAGAAACAGATACTCAAGACTTTTCACTTAGCTGAAGACATTTGGTTGCTGGTCTCTTATTTCATTATGCACTTAAGGTATGGAGTTATACGTAAACTCACCCCATGCAGCATGTAAAAGTTTGAACTCACATGAATAATGGGATTCTGACAACATCCTTGGTTACTGTGACAACAGATATCAAAGGAAGATTATAAGTTCGAGTAAATTGTCATAGTTTCAGTGAAGTCAACGAAGGCTATGACAATGTACAGAAGCTGAGGATTTGTCCCCAAGTACTTTGGATTTTATCAGAACTCAGGAATGTGTGTGTGTTTTTCTTTGTTGTTGTTGTTGCTGGATTTTGTATATTTTAAGAATTTTCATAACTAAAACTAGTTTTTATTAAACTCATCTCTTTGCACAGAATTAATCCTCGTGTTATCTGTTTTAATTTTTTTCTTTCAAATAAAACCAGCCAAAGGAAACTATTTTGGAATTTTTTTGTAAGTCCTAAGTGTTGATTTCAGTACAGTTATGAACAATAATGGGATAGGTGGTCAAACTGAGATAGTTAACACAGGTTAATTCAGCTGATAGTGGTTAATTTGCATAGTGCAATCCTTTTGGTTTTGAAAAGCTGTAAAGTATGTACTTTTTTTTCTCACAATTTCAAAATGCCACATTTCATGTGACAGCCATGAAGTGTAACATAGTGCACTGATCCCTCCTTTACAACAGACAAAGATAGGTCTTTTTCTTTACAGACTTTGTAGAAAATAGCAGAAGTCATAGGACTCTAAAAGTGCAGGATCCATTTTGTGTCTGTGGTTTCTCCATTGATCCTGTTTATGACCCTTATTCAGACTTGTGAACAGTGAAGCTACTGTAAATATCTCTTCACTGTTCATATGTGAATATTAATATAACCATATATTATTAAATAATAACAGCATCTCTCTCACAAACACACACACATTCGGCCAGGAGAGCCACAAATTGCTATTTTTCATCATTAGTTTCAATATTCTTATTTGTATCTGAAGTTTGCATTGCACTTTGCTATTTTATGAAATATCCTTTTAAATTTGCCACCTTATACAGGTCTCGCATGTTGGGTTTTATTTATGGGTAATTTAAGCTATTTAATTTCTTTCAGTAGAGGCAAAGTGCCCTCTTTAGAGACTCAGTTCTGCTTCTGTTGACTACCGTGGGAGCAAGGCTGAACCAAAGGAGACTTACCATGAAGGAAACTATATTTTTTTTGTCCATCTCTGCTTGATGATTTTCCATAGAGCCCCTTATATTTTCCCCTTTAACCTGTGCTGGAATGTAAGTGGAAATCGGAAGTCAGAACTTACAGACATATCTATAAATCTACAGACATCTGAGGACAAGGCAGAGCTTTCCTTTTGTTAGTGACCTTCTCCATTAATCCACCTTGCATTTCTCAGTAGAGCACTATTCGCAGTGCTCTTGATGCAGAGATGGCATTGATAGTAAGGAATTCAGTGTATTAATTTAAGATCTAATTAATGCAATTATGATCAAATCAGCAGAGCTTTGGTGCTGATGCAAACTGATGTGAGAACTCAAAGGTCATTTCAAGGTGAGATTAAACATCAATCATACAGTCTCACCTCAACCCTAAGTAATGTGTCCCCATTAGTCAGTGCTGTTTTGTTCCAATAGTTAAGGCTAAGTGTTTTAAAACCAGGTTAATTAGTGAAGCTTCTTGTAACTTAGGCATGCAAATACTTGAAGTTCAGAGATTTCTAATGATAGTGCTCAAATTCTCACTTTCAAAAAATTGCAAATACCTGTATAATTCAATTGTAGATAAGAACCAGATTCTCCCCTGTCCTCCACAGAACCCTAAAAGGTTATCTTACCCCTGGCTCATACTCAGTCTCCTTGGAGCAGATTTAGTGTAATTCCTTGGTGGGATAGGGCCACACATGGCATACCTGCATTGTGGAATTCTCTTATGTTGGGATCACCTATATGTTAGCCCCGGTGATGAAACAAGTGGGGTTGGGATGCAGAACCTGCAGCTGCTTGCAGTGTATTCTGTAGAGGAGGATTTGCACCTAAAAGCATAAGAGAAGTGCATTGTACATGTGTATCCAGGACAAACCAAAATACTGGATTCTCAAAGGAACATTGTCAGTTATAAAGGAGGACAAAATTAAATTGTTTTACAAGTCAGATGCAAACCTATTATATATATAATTAGTAAACTTAAACACCCCCCTGTTGTGTTTTAAACCCAAACACAATAGTATTGTGCTGGTGGGTAAAAATCAGGAGTTGCAGCTTCACTGTTAAAGAAAAGGGGACTGTAAAGAGAAAACCCAAACAATAAATAGTAAACAAGTAGCATGAGTTAATTTCTGTTTAATAATCTAGGAAGTTGTTAGTAATATAGGTTAGAAATTTATTTTAAAAAACATGATTTATACTCACATGTGCTCCTTTAAAATACCATTGCGTTTTTTTAGCATCACAGAAGAGATACTTTGATAAGAAATAGTGTGGAATAGAGAAAGGATAATGACTCTCAATTAGTAGACTCTGAACTCTGAATTAGCTTTGCCTTTTAATTCCAGTACTTAATATTTTGCTTTGTCAGCACTTCACAGTGTCATACCAAATAATATCATGTTAGTAGTTAGTACATTATTAGCATCCTTAGATTTTACCATGGTTTTAATACTTGAGAACAAAATATTCTATAAAGTTCATACTGTTAGCCAAAGTTAAATTAGAATATGTTTTGCCCTCAGCTGTGGAAGGTCAGGAGTAGAGAGAACAGTTATAATAATAGTCAGTGGAGTCCCACTCATTTTCTCTAAGGAAAAGAAAAATTCAGCAGTGAAGGTCTGTGCAAACATGTTTGTATTCTTCAGGCACTGTATATAGGAAGCTTAAGGGAACCTGCTCTTATTGGGAAACTGTTCACTGAGAAATAATCAGGAATAAAAGTACCAGGTCCTTCTGGAGACTGCGTTCATCACCAAGAAACATGTGTCTCCCCACATAGTGGTAATACCTTTCCTTCGACTTTGGCAGCTCAGGGATATGCCTCCCCTATAACAAAATGAGTTATGCTCAGGCACATTATTCGTCTGAACCTGAATTTTTTTCCTTGCATTACATTCTCTACAGACAGACACCTGTTCCATAGTGATGCAATTGGTCCTCTAACCCTGCACACAAACTGCACACACATACAAGGAATATAGAGGCACAGAATAATTTCTTCAGCCCACTGCCAGGAAAATGAGCTGAGGTCACAGACTGAAGTAGTCTCCACACTCTTTAGATGGGGGATTTGGGTAGGGTGACTATATTTTCCAAAGGGAAAATGGAACAAACACAGACACTGACCAATGCAAGCCCTTTCCTCCCTCCTTGTTTTGCCCTCTCCCCCCCACACACACTCCTCCCAGTGATGCTGTCCCCAGCTATTCACTCACGCCCTCTGTGAGATTGTTGCTAGTTGCCCAGCCCCACACATGCTGAAACATTGTCTTTCCTTCTCAGTCTTGACTCCCTCCATGCAGGGGGCAGGGCTGGCATCTCTGCTTGATCCTCCCTCTCTCACATTCCTCTGTGCTACTCCCCACTTTTTTGACAAATGCCTACTTTTGGGGGAAAAAAAGGCTAGGAAAGGACCCTAAAAGGAAGGTCACCCTAGCTTTGGGCTGCTTGTTATACCTAAGCATGCCTGTTCTCCTCCTATCTCTGGCAGGCCTACAGTAGCCCACTGTGCTTACCCAGTCCATAAAACACAGAGGACCATAGGCACCACATGCAGCTAAACAACTTGTGATTTCTCTTCTGATCTCCACTGTAGAGTGTAAGGGGCACAGGACATCTTTGTGTGAGTCATTCACATTTTGCTGAACTCACCCTCAGAGAGAAGAACAATTACACCTGCACTTTTAAATATTGCTGTCCATTTGTATTTCTAATGCTGTTGTAAAGGGCTTGTTTGTATCTGCGTTGGCATATTGGTTGTCTCTAAAATAGGAAAATTAACACTCAAAATAGGGCCAGTGGTGCGCGACTGTAACTGGCAGGGAAATGCTGAATTACCACTGCCACTCTTTTCTCAACTCCCCTGTTTGTGCTCAGCTGTTTGTTGGGATCCTTTTTAAGAAAAAAAAAGCCCTCTTTCGGTATTGTTCATATCATTTTGTACATCTCTTTGATTGTTAATGATGCAAAATGCATTTTAAAAATATGTAATAATCGCTGCCTTGCTAATACCCGTGTCCATATAGCCATTCATGATATTGCATCCCTTGCTGTACATTTTAATGGGACTGTCCAGTTTTGTCTTTCTCCACTGTAACATTTACTTTACAGCTATTACAAATAGTGGGCCAGTTTGCTGTAACCTTAGTTACATGGAATAGTATATTTTGACTGTGAAGTCCCATTGGAGTCACAGTGACTGATTGTGGAATGCCAGATACGAGAGAGGGTCTTGCCAGAGTGTCTGTAAGGCTCTTTCTCCTCCATGTCACTCAGAGTTCCATGCACAGAGGGATTGGAGAACATGACATAGTGCTGTAGTTCCAAGCTTACCCTGCAGCAGCACATTATTCAGCTTGCTAGGTTTTTTACGTATTACAAATGTTACTTGTCTCATAGCAGTCTTATTAAACAAATCTTGGTCATTATAACCGTGTGTCAGATGTTTAATAGACTTATTTAAAATACCATCTGTCTAACTATTGCATTTTTTGTAACACCTAACAATTTAGATTGAAACTGACAAATGGCACTGATGGCCATATTTTCAAATCTGAATGCCTAAAGATAGGCACCTACATAAGACTTTAGGCATCTAAATCACTGTTAGAGACATTGACATCTAGATTTAGACACCTAAACTGCATCTGTGTGTAAAGCATCTTTTTAAGCATCTTCCTTTAAACTCTCAAGTTCAGATCATTCTGAACTGAGTATTATCAGTATGTAGTTATTACTGTACATATTGATAGGTCACTTCCTTTGCTGAAGTTTATAATACATCTCATGGTGTTCTTATTACATAAAATCCTTTTTGTATGATTGACAACCGCATGTAAATTTTAGTTTTCATAATCCCCCCAAAAAGCAACAGAATTTTTGGTGGTAGCCTTTCAGTCCATCTAATTGAGGCCTGCTAAGAAATGTGTAAAGTATGATTAGGAAAGATCTGTGTTCATATCAAATAATTAAACTCTTCTAAGATTGAAATACCTCTTTTCTTTCCATATGTACAAATACTCACATAGCCAGTTTGTGAAAACAGAGAGACAGAGTCTTGGCCTCACCTGTGTCTGCACTAAACTGAGTATAAGAGCAGATGAGGTTCCTGTACCTTGTTGCTGGTGTGCTGGGGGCAGGCACAGCATTGAAGAAGAGGGTTGGGGTCTGGGGGAGTGGCTGCTGTGCCTGATGCCCAGCCAGTGCATGACCCAATGGGACTGCTGCAGTTGGTGCAATTTATAGCATTCTGTAGGTGGCTCTACATTATACTAGGGGCTACTTTGGCCCCAGAGGAGTGCAAAGATGCCTCAGAAGCATTTTTCCCTCCCAGCTCAGAAGAGTCTATACT